TGCTCCAAGCCCCCTCCAACCTGCCCTTGAACCCCTCCAGGGATGGGGCAGCCACAGCTTCTCTGGCCAACCTGGGCCAGGCTCTCACCACCCTCACACCAAAGAACTTCTTCCCCACATCTCAGCTCCATCTCCCCTCTTGCAGGGTCAAACCCTTCCCCCTCCTCCTAGGGCTCCCCTCCCTCATCCAGAGTCCCTCCCCATCTCTCCTGGAGCCCCTTGAGGGACTGGAAGGGGCTCCAAGGTCTCCCTAGAGCCTTCTCTTCTCCAGGCTGATCCCCCAAATCTCTCATCCTGTCCTCACGGCAGAGGGGCTCCAGCCCTCCCAGCATCTCCGTGGCTCTCAAGATGCCCATTTAGCCTATCACCACTAACTGAACAGAATGGAAAAGAAGCCCCACGGTTTACTTACAATGTAAATTTTTTAGCCGGGCTTAAGCACAACAACCCTTTTACACCCCTTCCCCGTAGACTTTTTTTAAAGAGAGCTGACTTTCTGCCCCTCTCCCCTGTCCAAGCTTGACCATCTTGGAGGCGGCACTGGCTGAACCTGTGTGTGAGGAACATAACACCTTCCTGGATCTGGAAAAACAGCCCTGCTCTTACTGCTGCATCGAAGAGAGAGAGACAGGAAAGAGCCAGCACCGACTTCTTGGAAGTGGTCACAGTGAACCAAGAAGAACAAAATTTTTAGGATAAAGCAAAAAGAGCAGGAAGAGAAGAGAGAAGCCCGCCCAAAAGTCCCCAACAGTGGAGGAAGCCAAGGGAGAGGATGTGCCAGGCCACGCCAGCATGTGGACCCGAGTGTCAGGAAGATGGTGACAAGGAGGTAATGGGACAAGAGGTGATGGGCACAAACTAGAACATGGGAAGTTCCATCTCAACATGAGGAGGAACTTCTTTGGTGTGAGGGTGGCAGAGGCTGCCCAGAGAGGTGGGGGAGTCTCCTTCTCTGGAGACATCCCAAACCCTCCTGCACACATTCCTGTGGGACCTGCTGTGGGTGACCCTGCTGTGGCAGGGGGTTGGAGGAGATGATCTCCAGAGGTCCCTGCCAACCCCACATCATTCTGTGATTCTGTGACAGCCACCACAGGGGAGAGTTTCCTCTTCTCTCCAGTATCCTGTACTTCTAGTCTTGGGAACTCCAGTTGCCATCTCAAACCACTGCAAACTAGCACTCAAAATAGTCTGGGTTTTTCAGCACAAGTCTTTCAGCGTGTGGTGCTGCCAACCCGGTCATTTCTCAGAAGCCTTGAATGTTCCTTATCACCGTTTTGAAAATGTTAACAAGCTATTTCAGGTCATCTCTTTGTTGCCAGGTTTTGCTTTTATAAACTATTTCTTACAATAAACTTTAATATGACAGACTATTACCTTGATAATGGCACAGTCCCCTGACAGTAGCGCTCTCCATCTCAGATTTTCAAGGTAAATCACGTATTACACACATTTTCAAAGGAATGTTGACCTCGGTGCTCAAGTGGTTCACATTCCAGTTTTTCATAGTCAACACATTGGGTTTCTCTTCAAAACCTTCTTTAAACAAGCAAGCAGGTTTTATAGGAGTGAAAAATTAAGATAACTGTAGGAATTCCTCTTGAACGCTTATCTTTATCTAGATTGGCTTTTGTGCTTTAAGTTTAATTGAATAAGCCTGAATCTTACAGACCAAGGGAATGCTACGTGCATTCCTCTCTCGTGAAGCAAGCAGGGTGCCAGGAAGAGTCTCTTTAAGAGATGCACATCTTCCACGCATTTTTCCTTCAATATATTTGCTTCCCAAGCACAGTAAAACATATCCCACTACTGTTTCATCCTCTGTCTTGTCAGTGTGTGTTAATTACCTTTAGAGGGCACCACTTTGTTGGGCATCTGTTGGCACTGGGGCTTTCCAGGAACCTCTATGCTTCCTTAGCAAATGTGAGGGATCAAAGCCTCTGCACCTATTGTCAGGAAAAAAAATAATCATACCATTACAATAGAATTTGCATTTATTCACTTGATAGAACTGGTGTTGAATGAGGTCTACTTATGAAAGGAAATTTATTACTGTAAGTAAAACGAAAAGACATGGGAGATGCCCCTCCCCACTGCTGTTGGTCAAGAAGTTAAATTTATCTACCTTGGAAGATGCCTCAAAACCTAATGTTAAACAAGTTACTGTTAAGCAAAATTAACACCTGCTATTCTTTAGTTTGTTCAGAGGAAAACTAAAAATGTTTTCAGTTGATACTGAAACAAATGTTTATCCTATACTGGGAAACATTGCTTAGCGCTCTGCGTAATGTGTCATCTGGAAAAATTGGCCTTATATTATTCTCTTGTGGTATTTTCCAAAATTATTTGTTTAGCTCAGATTTGTCCTGCTGGGTGCTGAGACAGCAACAGGAGACAGCGTGCTCAGCCTGAGCGAGCCCACCAACTCTGGAAAACAGGAAGGAGAGCGCATTTTGCAAGGAGAAATTTCAGCAACGTGAACCACCCCCCTAGAGGGTGTCCACGCCATAAATACTGATGGGATTTGTGAAGCAGGTCCTGCACAAATAGTTTATTTCTGAGACATTATTACTAAAGTGTGTGAACGTTGTAGCAGGAATGAGACGTATCTGAACACCGAAATAGTGCTGAAGCCAACAAAAGGCCAAATTTATTGTTCTCTTTACAGTCCAGCAATAACAAGGGTGATGAGTTGTACTATCCCAGCTCCAGAATTATGGTGACTCTCGGGACTGCTGTATAATAACCCCATAGTTCCTGTAATTTATTCATGTGTTGCATTTTATGTAAAGAATAATTACAAGTACATACCACAGGTTCGATCTGATATTTATACTTAAGCACTTCACTACATTTGTATCATCAGTCTTCTAGGAATGGCTTGTTGGCAAATCAAATCCCTTACCTTAATGCACAAACAATTAAAAAAATTGATGGATGCTATCGGTTTAATCTAGACTGTGGGGAGAATGCTCACAGAGCTTAATATTTACATACTGGATTCTTTACATTTTACATACTGGATTATTTGCACTTCAAAACAACATTATTTATTTTTTTTATTCCCAATAACATATGTATTAAGTTTTGTGATCTTAATTTTTGGCCTTTCCTCAGCTGGAATGTTGTGTCTTTACCGAGCTGTGCTGCAAAAGCTGGAAACTTTGGTTCAGGACCGAAGCTCTTTGCCAGCTCGAGGGCCCTTTCAGAGTAATTCTTTAAGCTCCACGGTGTAATGGATAAACCAAAATGACAGCGGCGAGGCCGCGGGTGCACTCACTGTGCCTTTCCTGGAGCGACTGAGCTGTTCCACCCTTACATAAGACTGCACTTCGCCCGACCCGTCGTCATCCCAAATAGACCAATATTAATGTGAGACATAAAATGTACACATTGCGTAACCCTTTCAGCCGCCCAGGCTCAGTATTTCCTCCTGACTGCTGCAGGAACAGACATTTAATTTTAACTTGCCACTAAAATAAAAGGCTCTGCGGGTAGAAGGAAACGTACGGGTGGGAACAGAGAACGGGGGTTATTCGTGTCCCAACGTGAATGTGCCAGAAAGATCAGCAATAATTTTTTTTTTGAGTTTGATTTACACGGCCAACTTAGTCTGACAGCATCTGTTAAAAAGTGCCCCGAAACCCATTTCATGCCTGCTTTTACTAATAGAGCCAAAAAGAAAATTGCAAACATCATGAAATGCTTTTTCATTACGCCTTCGCTGCCCAGTAAAACACTTGAGTTTAAGTGTCTTAAAAAGAACAGTGTAATTTTAATTTACTCAGAAATGCACTGAGCTGGCATTCTGACTTGGTCTGAAGGATGGAGCCAGAAAAGTAGAAAATGCAGTTTCAGCATTTAAAAACATGAGAGAAGCAGACGACTGTCAGTGTTGCCACGTAAGGCGTTACAGCTGACACCCCTTACGTGCCGTAGAGAAAGTTAATGCTGTGTGGGGTTGTCACCTCTTTCCATGTGCTGAATTTGCCCGATAACAGATCTAAAAGCCATCAGGTTTTCCCTCTGGCCTACCTGCAGCAGCGTGGGGTTGCCAGGGCTTGCAGAATCCCTCTCAGGCAGAAGAGGAAACTCTGGGGGTCGTGCTGCCTGTTCTGTCCCTTCTCCAAAATCCAGCTGGCTTCTTATTGAGCTAAACAGAGGCAGATTTTCATATGAAATTACACCCTGTGATTGTAATTTCTGCCATAAAAAGGTGACACTTGGATGAGGCTAAGTCTACGGTGGAATGT